TCTCATACTACTAATCTGTACTGACGCAAGTCGTACTAGCGTGTCAGAATTAAAAGTTGTCCTTTCAGCATTATTTTCTGCCCCTACGCATCTTTAACACCCCCACACCCAGTTTTTTCTATGAACCTGAAACACATGATAAACACGCCTGTGGAACACTCCCCTCCATATGAAGGTTTGTTTGTAAGTCTGGAGACAGCATGGTGTATACAGATCCCTTTTGTATTTGTATTTTGCCTGCTGAGGACGAACTGAAGAACTCTAGCGAACCCGTACACCCGTTTCCAAACTGTTCAACTTTCCTTGGGGAAAGAATACGGGTAACATTAGGCAGCATGTAAGCGCATCCGCTTCCGGTTATACTTTACAGTGACATCGAGAAATTTAGATGTGAAACGACAACTCCATAAACAAGTTCCTCTCACAGAGATGAAAATTCCTTTTCCTGGAAAATGTTCGCGCGTGTGTGTAGTGTTAGGAAATGTTTTTGTTGGGATGAAATATATATATGCCGGTCACGGTAGCCGAGCGGTCTAAGGCATGCACCGTCTTCGCTCTCTCGGAAGCCGGGATCGTGGGTTCGAATGCCACTCAGGGCATGGATGTTTGTGTGCGTTTTTCTGTGTTTGTGTACAGGTAGAGGCCTTGCGACGAGCTGATCACTCGCCCAAGGAGTCCCACCGTATGTAAGATCTAGAAAAACCGAAGTGAACGGAGAAGTTCATGGAGGTAGGCCTAGGCCCACTGGGGCTGTAGTGCCAAGGGAAAAATATATTGTGTGTGTGTGTGTGTATATATATATATATATGGAGTCTGAGTCAGCTTTACTATGGAAGGGCATTTCGCAGTTATTTTTTGGTCACATACGCGCCGTTAGTTAGAGGAGCGGGGCAGACCGGGTATCTGCCCCTCGCCCCCGGATTAAAAAACGAAATTAAGGAAAATCAGGTATTTCAAACATTACTCGTTTGAAATTAAACGTATTTATGTCTTAAATACCTGGACAATGAGGAAAAATAGACTTAAACTGGGTAAACGTAAGTTTGTCAACAAATTTTGTGCTTTGATCGATTCCAGCAGAAAATAGATGCGTCCCTCTCTATATACTGCGATTATCAATTATTCCATTCGCTTCCCACATACTCCACTAGGACATCTAACTGATGCATCGTCAGTTATGACCCTTGATTATAGTGGCAGTACTGTCTGAACTCTGAACTCATTGCCCTGATAAGTGTATCCAAACGCCTTGGGGCGCTTACACAGTAGCATTGCCTCTGTCATGAAGTTCGGCCGTCCATTCTGCAGGATTTCTGGTTCTCACAGAAGTGGTTATGAAGAGTACTATCTTCTTTGATATAACGGCATGTAGTCCTTTGAAAGTGAACCGACGTTTCGGAAGAACATGTCTCAGAATGCCCCTTACATCATATACGAGTGAAGAACCGAGTAGACCTTGAAGCTACACTTGTCCCGCCACGGATGCCTGTGGTTTGCCTTCTCACGGATGTAGATGCGTGTCGGCCATGGTGGTAGTAGCTCCATGTGTAAAGGACGAAGGGTCATTGTCGAGCAGATGGTCAGCCCCGGTCAGTCCTGTCCCTTCTCGGGGTTGCTGATGGTTGAATATATTGTAAGGGAAAGCGGTCCCAGTGCCACGTTGTTCCCTTGTCCTGCATGTAGTGCGCTGTTGTACCACTCCCACGTCTACAGCGAGACGGAGCAAGTTGGCTCAAGCGGTAATGTTTTTGACCTTGCATTCTGGAGGTGCATTGACTATCCTGACTTATAAGGTTTTCTCGGATTTCTTCAGGATCTTCAGTTGGAATAGTACCTGAAACTGACAGCTTCTTTCCCGTCCATAATGATCAAGCCATTTGACAGTTCGCTCTCTAGTCGTTCGCCACCGAATAAAGTAAAAGATAAACTTGTCCCTGTGCTTAACTAATTATGCACTAAGCCATGAAGGCGTATGGAGGAGTGGATGTATAGATCCACGTTTTCTTAACCTCGGCACTAAATGGAGGTGAGTGGTCAGCTTCACACTCCTGCCGCTTTACCCCCCGGGGAAAAAGCCCCCGGTCCCAATGGATAGGAGGCTGGGTGAGCTCGGAGCCGTTCTGGACGACGTGGAGGAGAGAAAATTCTTGCCCACACCGGGACTCGAACTCCGATTTCTCGGTCGTCCAGCCCCGTAGCCAGTCGCTATACCGACTACGGTATCCCGACTTCCCCGTTCCCCACAGAATGCGTCGTTAAGCAACAAACTACAGAGTGAGAATCCGATCTTTAACCGTCTGATTATAGGTAAATTTGTTATCAGAATTTATTGCTTGCCATATTGAATCATATCCCCCCCCCCAAGTTTGTTCCATGTATTCACTCAGTAGCTCCACATATTTGAGCAGACGTAGTTGAGGGCTTACAGGGATTACGTGTGTTGGCTGCAGCAGTTCAAGATGGCAGGTATGTGCGGAGAAAGAATGTAAGAATAAACCGAGAGTGTGCAGAGGTTAGAGGGAGAAAGCATGAGAAAATAGACTGAGAGGAGAAACATTCTCCCGATGAAAATAACAGAAAAGACAGATTTCGGGGGAAACAAAAGACACGAAAAGGTGGCGACATTGACATCCGTGAAAGATGAATAGAAAGGAGATGTGAGTATAGGAACAGGAAGAACTTCGTCTCATTATGAAAAAGGAAAGAAAGTAGCTCGCAAGATACAGATTACATAAGACGAAATAAATGCTGTCGAAAATAGAAATGGATGAAAGGACAAGACAAGAAGGACAAGAAAGTATAAGGGTTTGAAAAAGAAAGGGGCGGAAAAGGGAAGTCAGAAAGAAAGAAAGCCCTTTCCCATATGGTTTCGCACGTTGCAGTTGAAACTTGTACCATTTTTTTGTGCTTTTCTCTGTAGTAACCAGAGATCGCCAAACTTTTCTGACCGAGAATCCCGTAATTAACTCAGGGAGATGAGTCGAGAGCCAGCAGTTACACGAGAAATTACCAGAATTGTATGGAACCCAAGGTTCATCGCCGTGTTCGCAAGAGTCCGCCACTTGTCCCCGTCCAGAGCCCGATGAATCCAGCCCATACGCCCCTATCCTGTTTCCTTTTAAGATCCATTTTAATATCCTCCCATCAACGTCTAGGTCTTACTAGTGGTTTGTTTTCTTCAGGTTAGCAATCTGAATGTCTTCACCTCTTTAGTTTTCATTCAATCTTAATTTGCTTCCATTATTTTCAGCTTTCAAATTTTTTTGGTTTTATTTTGCGACACCATCAGTATCGAAAACCGGGATAGCGCAGTCGGTATAGCGACCGGCTGTGGGCTGGACGACCGAGAGGCCGGAATTCGAGTCCCAGTAGGGTAAAGAATTTTCACTTCTACATGTCCCGCTCTTGGGTCCACCCAACCTCCTATACAATGTGTACGGGGGGCTCATTCCGTGGGCGTAAAGCGGCCGGGGAGTGAAGCTGACCACTCACCTCCAGCTAATGCCGAGGTCAAGAAAATGTGGATCCACACATCCACTCCCCCATACGCCTTCATGGCGTAGTGCTTAATTAAGCACAGGGACAACTTTACCGTTACCGCCGTCAGTATCTGCTGTCTTAAGATTCTGGACTATATAGCGTCGAATTTGAAGGCGACTGATGAATATTGATTTGAAAAGGATTTGGAAAGAAATGGTCTGGCCTAATGCAGGCACTCTCACGGTATTTGCCTGGAGGGTCTGAGGATAATCACAAATAACCTCACTCAGGATAGCGAGTGTCACGGCAGATATATGATCCAAGCACCTTCGAATACAAGTCTAGGATATTACCGATGCGCGAACCTGCTAATTGTATTGTTCATTAAGTGGGTTCTTTGTCACCATGGCATGAACGGAAGAGTTGGCTTTCCGATAGGGAGGAGAGCTTAGTTGAGTAAGTAGCTGTGGACAGCTAAAAGGGTGTTGTCCCCCAGCTTGAGGTTGGGCAGGGTGCTGGCAACTCACCGTGAAGAAAATCGACGTATGTTACATCAAGTTACGAAACTGCATGAGGATATTTACAGTTCTACCCTCATAACTGAATTGTCCACACTGATAATCCACAGTTTCGTCCACGTATGAAGTTATCGGTGAGAGAAAGAATTCGATAAGATTTTGTTTGAAGTTGGTAGCTTCGATAATTATTGCAGATTTAATCTCTTCTTGTAAATAAGTACAGTAACAGATCTGTTCCCCTGCTGAGGCAGGTCCTTATTGCAAACAAATAACAAGTTTAGGGATATCAGAACGTAACGTTTTACCTTCTGCTTGAATAATTTCTGCCGGCATTTGATCCATACCTTTGAAACCTTCCAATAGCAATTTCAACCTGAAAGGGATTTTAGACTGGGGTACTAATGGCTTGGCTGTATGTACTTCCCCCCGCCACATATCACCCACAAACTCCATGTACATTCAGTAGCTGAGGGAAGTAACGCTTCCCATCTATTCAAAATGTTTTAGAATCCTTTGGTGAAGGAAATTTATATGAATGTGGGAAATTACAGCACAGGGGGCATTAAACGTGCCTGTCTGCCCCCCCCCCCCCCCCACCCCAAACANAATCCCTTCATTCAGGGAATGATTATGAGGCAGACGGTGTCGTGTAGGGTGCTTGCTGTATGTATGCAGTACAGGGCGCACTATTTTTGGATGGCCCGTGTTTCATTGCCCAGATGTTGTTTGTATATTATCGCTTTGTGGTGAACAGAGAATCAGATCAGTCACCTGCATTCCTTTCTTTCCTATCTTCTTTCCAGTTTTGTTGATGGTTTCCTCCATGAGTGTGAAATCGTTCTGTGGAGATTATTGTTATCTTTAAAGGACTTGAAACCTTCGGTGGCAGTGATAACAGCATAGTGGAAGTGTCCTGTGTTGAGATGCTGTTATCAGTATTTGGATCCTCCTTGAATGGCATGGCATCTTTTGTGATCAGGTTTTCGTTCTCTTTCATTTCAGTCTTCGGACGGTAAATCCACGTGGACTTGACCCTGGAGTGGTACGGGCTGAACTTCACCGGGCGCTGGACGTCTGGGCACAGAATTCCAAACTCACCTTCCGCGAGGTCAATGACGACCAGGCAGACATTCTAGTCTTCTTTGAAAAGTAAGGAATTTTTTTATTTATTCTGGGAGTTTTCCTGCCTCTTATGCCATGGAAATTTCACAAAATTTTGATTTTGTTTAAAATGGAATTAAACAAGCCGATTTTGGAGTGCAGAGGATAAAGCCAGTTTCTCAGTGTATAGTAAGATACTTGCAAATTTGAATGTCATTGCTGCCTACTGATAGAATTTAGTTGTATCATTTGTAAGGAATAAAAGAAACGAAATTGAAGGAAAAGAGCCTCACTCACTCACTCACTCACTCACTCACTCACTCACTCACTCACCTCACTCACCTTTCGCTCCCTCACTCACTCACCTTTCGCTCCCTCACTCACTCACTCACCTTTCGCTCCCTCAGTCACGTTTCACTCCCTCCCTCACTCACTCACTCACTCACCTACCTTTCGCTCACTGTCACCCCACATGCACCCCGCACAGACATCCTGTGCCACACATCGCGGGTACCACGCACCACCCGAACCTCCACAGGCACAGGCAGGGCGTCCACATCTCAATAATCCCTAAGCACCGTCACAACTCCTATGTATCCCTCAACCCCATGCATTCATGCACACTTACCCATACATCCACAGATACTCAACTGCACACCATGCACGCGCGCACACGCACACACAAACCCCACCCCCTCCAGGACAATTCCATAAGTGTAGTGTACTTCAGTTAGTAAGGAAAATCTGCTGAAGTCTAGAATTATATCTACCATTGGAAATTAACAAGCCTGATTTGAAGAGATTGCAGGTATAGCCCTCATTTTTGAAAATGTACTTGAGGGAGACAGTATCAGTAACGTGGAACTGTGAATATTACAGTTGATTTTCTTGCAGTTTTTTCCTGTTTCTATGAAACTGACGTGGATTTTTTTACGCCGCAGGGGGACAAAGTTACAGAGTAGATTGGTTGCATTAATTGTTTTGATCTGTTATCATTTGTTCTAGGGGCTACCATGGGGATGGCTATCCTTTTGATGGGCCAGGCCAGATTCTGGCACATGCTTTCTTCCCTGGTGGCGGTCGAGGCGGCGATGCTCATTTTGATGAAGATGAAACATGGCTTCTCTTGGAGGGTGACCACCATCATGGTAATGTATTATTGTTGTTTGCTCGAACATTTATGAAGAAATGTTTGTTAATTAAGGTTTAAGGGATGTACGATTTCATGTGGATGTTGTTCAGTATGTGTCTGATTCTTAGGTGCATTGAAATTCAGCTGCTCTCACTAAGCCCCTAAAAGTGATTCCTCTGGTTAATTTAGATTTCTACAACCCTTGATGATGGTAGGTCCTTTGAACACTCTCGTGATTTGAGCGAGCAATTTGAAAGGCCCAATTTTCTTGTAACTCTCCAACTTACCGTGAAACTATTGTTCTTATTGAACAGTGTGGGGATTCATACTGTTATTGAATAACTTGGAAGTTCTGCTTGCATTAAATTTTAATCCGTGTTGTAAAGTTCAGAAGTCTCATTTACCTGAAACTCTAGTACGTACTGGTTATTAGTTTTAATATTGATTTTACATGAAACATATACAAGGGTTATTTGGAAAGTAGCCTCCATTTATATTAGACAACTGATAAAGGAGCAGGGGAGAGCTTATGCATCTGAGGTAGCGTCACATGCGTCGCTGTCTTGTAAATCATCATATAACTAGTCACATGGTGCTTGTTCTTGTCTCTACAGAGTGAGTTGTGTGTCCTGTGATGGATAATCCTGCCAGCTGCAAAGTTTGCACTGTTATCTGCACTTTTCACGCTAAAAAGTTAGTGGCGCAGAAATCCATTGTGACTTATGCACCGTTTACAGTCAAAATGCAATGCGGGAAGAAACTGCAGGACAGTGGTGTAGAATGTTCAAATATGGGCAAACAGATGTTGACGGTGAAGAGTGAAGTGGTCTTGTGAATATCCACAGACGTGATGGAATGTGTTCCACGAAATTATCACAGCAAAGTTGTCACAAGTTTTGTGCAAGATGGGTTTCAAAAAATGCTCACAGATGCGCACGAACTGCGGAGAATGGCTCTGGATATGAATTTTTTAGAGCGATACCACAAAGATGGTGATAAATTTCTTGATCACATCTTACAAGTAACAGGTGATGAAATTTGGTTTTCATTTGTGAATGTTGACATAAAAGAACAGCCAAAGTAGTGGATGCACACACATTCACCAAACAAGCTGAAAAGTTTAAACAGATGTCTGCCTGCTGGAAAGCTGATGGCAGCTGTTTTCTGGGACAGGATAGAAGTGCTGGTTGTGGAATTCATGCGACAAGGGGCCACAATAATATCAGAAGTGTATAGCAAACCACCAAAGGAACTGTGTAGGACCATGCAGATCAAATGTGGAATATTAACATCTGCTGTAATGCTTTTCCTTGACAATGAGCGCCCATATACAGCTGCTTAGCATTCAAGTGCTGCTGGAGCATTTCGTCTGGGAGTTGTTTGACCACACTCCTTAGAGATATGATCTCTGCTCCAGGCTACTACCACTTATTTACCTACCTGAAGAACTGGTTGTCATCACAGTGCTTCAGTGATACTTAGGAGCTGGTGGTAGGTGTCAAAACATGGCTGAGCTCACAGGCATACAAAAATTTATTCCCCAATAGGACAAGTGCCTACGTTCTGACGGTGACTGTATTGTGAAATAGCTTAAGTATGCAAATATATTTTTTGTATATAATTTTTTCCCTTTTTGTTTGTTTTGTTATCAGCTCACTAGAGGTTACTTTCAGAAAACCTCTTGTGTATATATCGAACAATTTGGAAGACAAAATTACATCAAATTGCGACTGTTATTGCACAGTCTGGTTGTCAGTTTCGCATATATCCCTGCATAATCTTGAAAAAAATGTAATTTTTCACAGAGCATTTTATTTTAGTATGGAGTAAGGATGTGACTAAATGTATATGTATTATCTTATTAGTAATTCTCGAAAAAGTAAGCGGAAAGTCATTTAATATCTCGGGAGATTGGCAATTAGGACATGGTTCCCTTTCAGGTACCAGCTTATTTGCAGTAGCAGCTCATGAATTTGGCCACTCCTTGGGTCTGTCACATTCATCTGTGGCTGGAGCTCTAATGTTTCCCTGGTATCAAGGCCTGAAACCCAACTTCCAGCTGCCAGATGATGATCGTCACGGTATTCAGCAACTGTATGGTGAGTCTCACATTGCTGCGAGAAATCTTAATTATTCACTTTGAACATATTATTTCGTATGAGAATTTAATGTTATTTACAAGAGTATCTCTGTCAATGCACATGTGTAACAGAAACACATTTTCCTATGAGGCTTGAGAGTCAGCGCCTTTTTGTGTTGGCAGTTTCAGTACTACACAGGTGCAGTGTATATATCGGATTAGTGAGGTTTTGATGGCTGGATGTTTGCTCTTCATGGAAAATAGTAGTACATTGAAGTGCTCCAACAAGTGTTCTTAAGGGCACAGTGTTTCATGATGAAACCAAACTTGCCTATCCTTCACACACAATCTCCAGATATGCCTTTAGATGCCTCCTTATGCCGTTAACTTCTATGTGATCTTAACTGAGAAAGTGTACTTTACAGGAGCTGTATGGAAGTACTCCATGTCTACTGTGCAGAACAGCAGATGACATGAAATTAAGGGTGTTCAGAATTTTTACCTTTTACCTCACTAAGACTTCATGGCAATACTGTATTATCACGTGACCAAGTCAATATAGTTGTGATTTGGATTGGTAATTGCATTTATTGAACTCTTACAACTCGTAACTACAAGTAAGGATTATGCTGTCACTATTCTACACACTTCACATACAACCACAGAACACATCTTCACTAGCCGTTGCTTGGTAGCGACTTCCAGTGGCAGATGTTCCTCTGGGTTCCTGAACTGTTCCCAGCCTTAGCTACAAGCTTCTCGCAGCAGCAACTCACAACAACTGCACCCCAGCGGTTATATACCTAGGTCATTCACTCCTCACTAACTTTTCCTGCTTATAACATCTTGAGATAGACCTCACAGAAAACACCATTCCTCTGTTGCCAAGGGCCGTTGCCTAGTAACGGCCATTGTACAGTTGCTTATTTCGCAGTGGTTGCCTAACAATGGATCTACATGCCACAGTATATTCACTGTTACTTCTATGTGCCAGAATTCAAGGAACCAAATGTTTGAGGTATCATTTTGTTGTGAAACACTGTGCTGTATTTTAGAGGAGCTCATGATTTATGTCATGGCCAAGATTTGTTAAAGAGGTTCATAAGAGGGGGTTTTCTTTTCTTACCTTGCATTAATATAAGTTAATTGTTTTAATTGTAGGTCCAAAGGATGATAGAAGAACATGGGAAACTATTCCAGAATACAATCCACAACTGCCACACTACCCCACTCATCCACCTTATTATCCCAGACCACCAGATCAACCTAGACCACCACCTGAATCACCTAGGCAACCAGTGCAGCCTCCTAGACAACCAACTCAGACCCCTAGGCAACCACCTAGAAGACTTGACCCAATTCCTCCTGACTATCCGGAGAAGCCAACAAAGAAACCACACAGGAAGTCAGGCAAACCTGATTCATGTGATACAAGTTATGATGCCATCTCTGTTATCAGGAGGGAGGTGTTTATCTTCAAAGGAAGGGTGAGCAGGTTCAAGTTTTGGTGGTGATATATAACCTTTCCTGTTGTATAACAGTGTAAGAGACCTTAAAGGAGTTGAAAATGTATTTTTATGCTTATAAAGTGAATTGTTGGATTAAGTTAATTCTGGCTCGTATCAGTGTAATAAGATGATGCTGCTGGAATGGAGCAGGCAAACAGATGCAGTAATACAAAAAAAAAGAGTAATTTCTGATGGCTATATGAGCTTTGTAACCATCTGTATTTGCAAGAAGTAAAAATCAAATGACAGTAAACTACACAAAATATCAATGTACACATAGGAAAAGTGCCTTACAAGTGCATTTTGAACCCTGCAAAGCAAGTGTTTTCTCAGTCCCATCTTGTGTGTGAGAACCACTGGACAGACTTTCATGGAATTTGATACTTCACATGCAGACCTGCATATGTTTCAGCTGGTACCTTGAGCATAAGTTGTTTAATATTTATCAAAGAGGAAGATGTTTCAACCAGAAGTTGTAGAGAAAAATGAAACACATTTTTTTACATTTCCTCTGTAAATGTTGCGGTTTTGAGATAGTTGGGCAAAACAATAGGAAGTCCTTGATTGACTTAGACTGCATTAGATTTTATTTTAACTTTTAGTGAACTGCACTGTTACAGGGTGTCTGTCAAACATGCCAACACAGCAGTTTTCATGTTGTATGTAACAACACTGAATAGTGAAATTTTAAAACTGAATATTTATTCATTTATTATGTGTTGATGTGACTTCATTTTTTCATTTATTACTCCTTCTGTCAAATACATCTGTTAAGTGCATACTGTGTATCTTAACAGTCTTCTTGTAATTGGAATACCCATATTTTTTTACTATCTTGCACTGTTGACAGTGCTGTTTTGTTGCGGCAATTTAAATGTTGCTGTTATGTCAGTAGTACATGTAATACATTAGAAATTTATTGACACAGAATTCATGAAATTCTCAGTTTTTTCTGGTTAATGTTCACTTGTTTTGGTGTGGCTTGAACTGATTTGTGTAGTTTTTGTGTATTGTTTTTGGCATGTGTGTACTGGTATCCATACCAAAAGTTCAGGGAAGAACACGATGTCTATGTTCATTAATATTTTCGTCTGTAGTAAGACAAGTCAAATTATGTTTGCAATTATTCAATTTAGTGATGTATTTCTTTTCGTTATTTCTCGTGGTTAGATATATCAGCTGTGAGGTCCCATATAATCTCAGAACTGGAATTCTTGTATTTTTTAATTTACAAACAAATTCTTTACACAGGGTGATTTTTACTTTGTTGACCGTTCTCATATCTGTGCTTCACAGGGACTGGAGCACCACTTGCCATGAGGTGCATACAAATTTTGCTGATGAATCAGCATGCCTGACGGATGATAACATTCTGGCAGATGCATATTTCACATAGGTGTCATACAGAAATACAGGATACTCTAAAGTATATTACACCATGATGTACCACATTGCTTACTAACTGTAACTGAGAACAAATGGCTAATGGAGCCTACTGCTGACACATCATAAATAAACTCCCACGCATGAATCGCACTGCTTGCTGTGAAACAGAATGCCTTCAAGTGGTCCACAAGTTAATTACTTCTCTTCATTCCAAATGTTATTGGCCCTCAGGCATGTTGATCCATTGGGCAAAATTCATATGCGCCTTGCAGCCAGTGGTGCACTGATCACTGTGAAGCGCAGAGCCGTGAACTGGTCAGCACGGTTAAAATCTCTGTATAAAATCTTTTAGGTATGGTTTGTTTTATGCACATATAAGAATTTTCAGTTCTGGCCGAGTCTGTTGATCAATTATTGCTCTCAAACAGTGAGCTAAATATCGTATAGATTTCTTGCAGCTGTTTTTTTTTTATATTCTTAGTAATTGAATTGAAGTATCATACTTTTGAAATAAAATTTAATGGATGTATATTAAATGACATGTCTCACTCCTTCCGCAGACATTTCTACATCTGCCATGATTATAATCATGATACGTAATAAAAAGGCCAGAAGGTGAAGTAGCATTGAATGTTATAACATGTTTTAGAATTCATGTAAAGTTTTAAGAAAATCTGTTCGTCAGTAAGGGGAAGAGGAAACTTGACAGTTGATACACACATTGCTCCCTGAAGCTTATTGTTTCTAGGAGGAAAGTGTGATAAGGACTGAGATATATTATTGCACATATTATATATATGTTTATGTACAACTTGTTTTGTTCTGTGGTCTATTTATTGACCATCAATACTGTTGATCATCTATATTTCAAATAAATTTAATTTCTGTGCTTTATTTTTATATTTTCAGTATATCTGGAGGATTGGGGACAATGGCTTATATGCAGGATATCCAGCAGAAACACATAGGATGTGGAATGACTTACCCAAGAATTACACACACATAGATGCAGTGTATGAGAGAGGAGACAAGAAGATAGTGTTTTTTATAGGTGTGTTTGTGTATGATTTATGGAGAATGTTTATATTTTCTTGACTTTAGCCTTTGGTCTATTCCTTGGTCAAGGCTGAAGATTAGTGTGTGGATTCATTGGATTTCAGGACTAGACCTCTTGGAGCATTGAGGGGTTTCCAGCATTTTGCAAACATTGCAATGGCTTTCTCTTCCATACCTCTTGCATTGGGCAGTGTGTCAGAAGCAAAGCTATGATGGGATGAACAGAGTAGCTGGATGCTAACCTCTATGGAGTATCCATGTGGTTAGTGAAAAGTGGCAATGAAAAATGTTTCAGCAATCATGTGATTAAAGAAATGAGGTGATGAGCAATGTTCTGGCAACCAGGTAGTCCTGAGACAAGGAGGAAGGAAACATTTCAGAAATATAATGTTTAGACATGAGATGATGGAAGATTATTTTTCTTTCTTGCCTCATGGACAGGAGAGAGAGTTCTTTTTTGTCCCTTCCATTTTCTCCACATATGGACATGAAAAGAGTTACGTGATTGCTGTATGAAGGTTGTTGGGTACAGTAATGAGTTGGGGGGGGGGGTGATGAAGCCAGGCTTTCTTAGTCTACGTAGGTCGTACCAAAAGTCGTGAGCAACTTTTTCTTTTGCATGCAACCTGGGAACAGCAGACGAAAGAGAGTATGGTGGTAGGTGGAACCAGCTGTTGTGTTAACCTTGAGTGTCTTGTGACGTCAATAGCTTGCATCACGTGACCAGTATCAAACCTAACAAAATGGCCGACAGCCATCTGTTGTTTCGCCAGCGTGCTGTCATCGAATTTCTTGTGAAAGAGGAAATCCCTGCTGCAGAAATTCACCAGAGACTTCAGCATGCTTATGGAAGTGTGCATGGGTACGAGCAGTGTTCGAAGATGGGTGAAACATTTTAAAGATGGGAACACCAGCATCGAAGATGAGCCTCGGAGCAGTCGTACTCGAAGGGCCTCAACTGAACGCAACAAGGAAAGAGTGGATGAGATCATTCAAGATGACAGGCATGTGACTGTGGACACAACAGCCCGAAAACTTGGAATAGGGCACAGTGAAGTACAGGAGATGATTGAAAGCTTAGGCTATAGGAAAGTTTGTGCTCGTTGGGTCTCGCGGTTATTGACCGAAGACCACAAGGATCAGCGAAAAGCCATCATCTCAGAACTGCTGCAGATATCGCGACATGAAGGCGATGATTTTTGCTCTGTATTGTGACAGGTGACGAAAGCTGGTTTCACCATTTCGAGCCTGAAACGAAATGGCAGAGTATGGAATGGCACCATTTGCTTTCTCCATCAAAAAAGAAGGCAAAAACAGTGCCATCAGCTGCGAAGGTGATCGGCACAGTCTTCTGGGATGCAGAGGGGTTTATTCTGGCCAAATTCCCGGAACCTGGGCAAACCATCAATGCCGCTTTTTATGGCCAGACGCTGCACAAGCTCCGTCGTGCATTGTGCGATAAATGTCAGGGATGAAACATCATCATCCTGCGTGACAAGGCTCGCCCCCATGCCACTCGCCTTACATTTGAAGCAATTGCAAAGATGGGGTGGGAAGTTCTTTCACACCCCTCCTATAGCCCTGATCTGGCACCCTCCGACTACCATCTTTTTGGATTTGTGAAGGATCAGCTGCGTGGACAACGTTTTGAGACGATGGAGGCAATTCAGAAAGCAGTGCGTCAGTGTCTTTGGATGGCTGGAATGGAATTTTACAGAAGGGGAATTTACAAACTCCCAGAACGCTGGGAGAAATGTGTACAAAGAAGTGGCGATTATGTGGAAAAATAAAGGAAGGTCTGTAGATTGTGGTGGTGTATTTGGTTTGTCAGTAATAAAGCATGTTACTTTACAAAAAAAAATGTTGCTCATGACTTTCAGTACGACCCTCGCACATCTAGGTTTGTAATGCTGTGTAACACCCAGAATCACTAGGTTCTGGGACTTTGTCTCTCATCCAGTATTGTAAAAAGTTAGAGAACACAACATTTAGGAAAGTGGATCTGTTTCCATCCACAGGTGAGAGGGAGACACGTACTCTGTTGAGTCCCTGAGAAAAAGTTAATCTCCATCACTGGACAATCCATGGCAGTATAACTACAGCTATATAAATATGTCAGTAATATAAATATATATGAATAATATCAAAGAGAGATAACAGAAGAAATACACAATAAAAATTGTGATAAAGCATGCATAGACCTGAAACAGAGATAGTCTATATCTTTCTTCACTGTTGTAGGGGGTGGGGGGAGGGTGGGTGTGTTTTGTATTTGTCTTCATTGTTATAATAGTGTTTTGTCCATAATTTGTGGATGGTAGGCCTGGAAGTTGTCTGTGAAATCCATTCTGTTGAAGTTTCTGTTTGCTTTTTGTCTCCTGAAATGTTCATATACTACTCATCATCGGTTCTCCACTGTGGTGTCTCTGATGGGTTCTGAAATCCTGGTCAATATGTTATGACCATTTGACCAATGTACAGCTTGTTACATGAGCAGGGAATTCGCTGTAAGTCTTTAAATAAAGTTATTATTGATGAATTTGAGGAATTTTGCGAATAAACCTCATACACTTAAAAAGGGGTCACATAAAATTCATGGGATTTGAGGTTAATATCTCAAATTACAGAAACTGGCTATGAAGATGTTTGGATTCATGTGCGTTAAAATAGGGCCCACATAGTGGGTTCTAATGCCTGGCTTCCATGTTCTGTTGAGAGACTGAAGTAACCATTAATTTAGTATGGAGTAATTTATGGCTGGGGAGTTCTAAAGATTAAATGAAGCTCAGTTCTGCAGCAGGTCATAATATAATTTGTATTATTAGATTTTTGAGCAAGTATCATTAAATAAAAGATAGGTTCTGACTAGATCCATTACACACAAAATGATGTGGGAACATCTCACATTATCACGCATTTCTGCAACGCTCGCGCTTCACATCACTTTTCACCATCACGCGCGCTAACCAATCAGATTGCTTCAAACGATCGCATTTATACTACGCTCGGCGATAGCCCGCGTCTACACCATTACGCGCGCTAGCCAATCAATTCTTGCTCCTCACTTTCGAGTTTGGCTCCGCCCCACCGACCAGCGTATAAAAAGGAGCGACCCCAGAGTCGAGTTATGCAGTTTAATTCAGTTCATCAGACAGCAAGCAACTTCAGCCAGCAGGCTTCGTCGCCAGCGCTCGGTCTTCGGAGACATCGGCAGGCTGCGCCAGGCACGACTGCCTCGGCCCTCCAGCGCTCTCACACCCGACTCACTGGGGCACCGCGCCTGGACTCGCCGGTGGTCGTGTTACGGTCCGACCCACTGGGCCTCTGGCGTAGCCACTGCCTCATGGCTACTACGACCGCGCTCGACGACTAGCCTTCACCAGCAACCGCCGCACTGCGATCGAGCAACCTCCATCACTTGCCGCACGGCAACCAAGCAACCAGCTGCCACGGTCGCACTGCGGCCACTCCACTCACCGCAACTAGCCTTTCTCCTTACCGGCGCGCGCCGCGCTACCTCACCGATCAATCATCTCAGCAACCACGGTCCTTTTCAGGGCCAACAAACTGTTCCGAAGAAGTGGGTTGTCATAGGAGTAGTGACAAGACTACACACACGTTGACAAGAGAGAGCCCCACAATTCCTTCGCTTACCAATTGATAACCACTTAAACTGGAAATAGCATATCGATCAGTTGGTTCCAAAGTTAGGTGGGGTATGTTATGCAGTAAGAGCTTTGTTATATGTCAGCAAGATTGATACACTGAAAGCAGTTTATTTTTCCTACTTTCACTCTATAATGAAGTATGGAATAAAATTTGGGGGTAACTCATCTGGCAGAAAAAGCCATTTACATTACAAAAGAAAATTGTTAAAATCATGTTGGGCGTAAAACCTCAAAATTCTTGTAGAGAGGTATTTAAGAGATTACAGATGTTACCTCTTCCATGTGAATATATATTTTCATTATTAAGCTTCATTATAAATAACCAAGAACATTTTCAGACCAATTCGGATGTACACAGCTTTAACACGAGAAACAAGCACCATCTCCGTAGACGGGTTGCTAACTTGACATGTTTTCAGAAGAGCGTATATTATTCTGGCATTAAAATTTTCAACAATCTACCATCTGTCTCAAAAGTCTAATGAATGAAAAGGTGCAATTTAAATTAGCACTGAAACGATATTTAAATAAACACTCATTCTAAACTCATTGATATATTCCTACTGTCTAAAAATGACTCGTCCTTTTAAAAGGTTATGTACATAGCATAAGTTGACAGTACTGACTTATATATGTGGATATTTTTGTTGTGTGTCGGTTGTACTGTATTTATGGCTTTTGTATATGTATGACTTGTACCACATCCTACAGTCATTCTGACTTACTTTGGATCTACGGAATATAATGTATGTATGTATGTACATATGCCTGAGGTTTGAAACAACAACCTTTAGATATGCTGCAGTATTCTTTTGTATTTCTGTCTTGTTACTTTGTATTCATATGTTGTGTCATTTTCTCATTAGTGGTTTTGAGAAATGTGTGCCATAGCTTTTGCAATAGAACTCCATAGGGTAACAGAAGGCTACTATATCATCCCAATCCATTACTAAGTGGTAAGAAGGTTTGTGAGTTTCAGAGATAATTTGGTTATTGCTGATCAGATTCTATTACAAAAACATTTGTTTTTAGCAAGCACTCTTATATGGGTGTTCTTAGAATCAAGGGCTTACAGTAATTGTATCTGCCTACCTATACATAGTAGCTTGAGTTGCTAAATAGCTCAGTGGAAAAAGAAAGTACTTTTAAATTCCCTCATTCACAGGACACCACTGCCATTTTGTTCCGTCAGCAATAATGATGATTAGGAATTCATAGAAGTTATTATTATAAATATTTTCATTATTAACTTTCATTTTTTTATTGTGGATATTTAGTGAAGGAATAATAATTTCTGACTTTTTCTGTGTTTTGGATTACAACAATTCCTTTGTATCCTCCTAGAAATATGCATTATGGCAAAAAAGATAAATAGAATAACAGAGAATGCATTTGCTTATTTTACCCATGGCTTACAAGGTGTAGACTGACTATTGTGCTTACATGGAATTTTCTGATCCTTTGTTTGGTTTCAGGGAAGCAATACTACCTCTATAATGGTAATGAACTTGAAAGGGGATTTCCAAAGCCACTTACAAACCTTGGTCTGCCAGAGTCACTGGAGAAAATTGATGGAGCCATGGTGTGGGGACATAATGGGAAAACATACTTCTTCAGTGGAACCATGTATTGGAAGTAAGAAACACACATTAATTACATATTTGTATTAATCACGCAAGGGTTCCATGGAGGCTAGTAAGTTGTGGGTTAACTGTTGTAAATGGTGTACTGAGAACTCCCATTCACATATGCATGACAAGTTGCTATGTGTTGGTATTTCTGGTTCCAGTGTTTTTAAAACTATCATCTGCATTCTGTGGTTCATGGACTGATTTTTTGCCTATAGATGTATCGTTAATAACGGTTTAATCACGGTTGGTCTAAAAACCTTTACTCACAGTTACCCAGTTATGAAGGCCAAAGTCACTGGTTCACATTTCATTGGCAAGTAAGTGCAGTAGGTGGCTACCAACAGTAACTGGGTAGTTGTTAGATTGGCAAGTGTTACAATCATCTTGGTACACATGGGATTAAGATTATTATATTTTGATGTGTATAAAGTGATATTTATGTTATTAAAAATTAGTGTTTATAATTTTATTATGCACTTTTTATTTTTTCTACTGTTGGAACTCTTTATATGTTAGTAGTCCTGCAGTTGTATAGGAGCCAGAGGTAGGATGGGCTTCTAAGTAATTGTCTTGAGATGTTGTATGTGTTTTTAACTTCGGTAGGTTGCTGTTGGTTTTGCATTAAATTTGTTTCTCAGTTTCCATGGAAATCCTTCACTGTTGTTTGATGAGTTTTCTGTGTTCTCCTTAAGAACTGAATTTTTGCCATAGCTGCAGGGTACAATATTTGTACATGAAACTGTAGTATAGTATTATACTTGAGCATCCTGTTGCATAAAAATTGTCATATTTTATACATATGTTATATTCTCAAATGTAACATTTATTCTTGTCTCTCATATATATATATATATATATATATAAAACCCCGCAACTGTGTGATAATTAATTGTAGCCATTACTTACAGGTTGTTGAATAAACCAGTTAACAATCCATACGGCATCTTCAGTAACCCAACACGTTACAATATATATATGTAATATGTCTTGAGCATGTATGGCTGAGATGCTGAGACAAGAATAAATGATGCATTTGAGACTGTAATACATATGTAAAAAGCCTACTGTAGTAGTGTATGAATGGTGCGTGAATAGATGAGTTTATGTGAGTTATATGTACAGATTGTGGTCAGTGCACATGGAGTGATTGGGGTGCTTGGTTATGTAGAGTTTCTGCAAGAAAATATGTAACTGCCTTATAGTATCAACTGGTTTTACTAACTGGTATTGTTAATGTTTTACCAGGTTTGATGAAGATGTTGGGAAGGTGGAATTGGATTATCCAAGAGACATGTCCATACTAACTGGTATTGTTAATGTTTTACCAGGTTTGATGAAGATGTTGGGAAGGTGGAATTGGATTATCCAAGAGACATGTCCATGTGGAGTGGTGTGGGCTATAACATTGACACTGTATTCCAGTGGAAAAATGGTGAATATTAAATAAAAATGCTTCAGTAATGCCAAAGTATGACATCTTAAGGAGCTTCATAATTTGTATTTTCTTTTTTGCAACATATTGAGTTAGTGTTTAAATCAACTGTGAGATGGTGCTGATATGAAGCGCACATCAGGTTTTGTCAGATAACCTCTAGGAAAAAGATAACTTGGTAGGCTGAGGTTAGGTGGATGATAACAGTATGTCTTGGAGGAATATTATGTGAACTGGATTAGATTCAGCTGGCTAGGATATGGTACAGTGGCAGGATTTTGTGAATATGGTTATGAATCTTTGAGTTCCAGTCTTGACCAACTGCTGAGTACCATAGTGTTAGTAAACTGTTAACTGTATAAATCTTCATGATTTTGAAAGTCACATTACATTTCTTGGGTTATTTTCAAAACTGGATTTGATTAAATTTGATTTTTGTGTTATTTTTTAAATTTAAGTTGATTTTAGCAGTGTATGGTGAATATAGAATGAAGTAGGATATTCATGGGTTACATAGTTTTAACTTACACAACTGTTGATATTAATTTTTGCTTGCTCTTTTAGGAAAGACGTACTTCTTTAAAGGAAAGGGTTTCTGGAAATTCAACGATTTGCGGATGCGTGTTGAAAATGAACGACAAACACCATCAGCACCTTTCTGGATGGGTTGTCCACATGAACTAGAAAGGCCCTCAGAACCAAGAGATGTTCTTCCACCTAAAGAAGAACTGGATATTAAGCCACTGCCATCTCAGTCTGGTACAGCATCCATGTGTTCCATTACCTTCTTGACTGTGCTGACACTTCACTCTATGTTCACACTAAGCTATCATCTTTAACAGATCCATAATGTGAGGTAAGTAACTGGGTCAATTAAGTATAACTAACTAACTAACTAACTAACTAACTAACTAACTAGTTAGAGAGGGTGGGTTGCCCCATGCACCGCGACCAGTTTGATCTATTGTGCTTCCCTCTATGATATTCTACCAGTCTCTATATGCTACCGATACTGGTGCTTACCATCAGTCTCGCCTAGCCAGTGAGACCGGCTCTACTAGCTGAGAGGTATCTATAATGCTTCCCCCATCTACCAGAGGTATTAGAGACTGCTGTTGGGCAGGAAACGTCCGTAATTTGGCTCAGTGACCTCCTTTGGAGATATGAGGTTCTTTTATGTGCCGTAAAGCTATGACGCATGACCCACGGCTTAAAGTCCCTCCCGGAGGACTTGTTCCCTGATTTTTTCCGCCCTTAAAAATTCGACGACCTCCGCCCGGTATTTGAACCCGCGTACTACAAGTCATGAGGTGGGAACGTTACCTCTAGACTACGGAGGCCGCTTTGGGTTGAGTGTTAGTTTGTGCTTCAAGCTCAACTACACAGACTTTCTCTTTTGAGGACTGTCCAGCACTACATAGAGAAAATGGAACACAAATGCAGTTAATAAGACCAATATCATTACTATACTTATATTTCTTGAATAGCAGTATATTGAAATAATGAGGCATAGGGAGTGTGGATTTTATGGAAAGGTTGCTGAGATGAGCTGAAGCATGTTTGGAGCGTCTTTAGATATTTCTGTCATTTTGACATTTTGTGAGATAAAGTGAGGACTGCTTGGAGAGAGCTATTAACATTTCAGGATTTTAACATCTTCCAATGTTGAGGGTTAACTCTTGATTCATGAAGGTCTATAAAGAACAATCAGGTAATGCTCAGTTATTCTAAAGTTGATCCTAGATGATTAGCTTCACACTGACTTTAAGAAACCAAGTTCCAGGACACTGGTTAGAATGCCGGCTATACCGTTAGTGCTGTGGATGTGGCTCCGCTGCATGTGAGTGATCATATTCTCTGCCAAACCAGCATGAAGACTAACTCTGGAAAAGTGGATCCAGTGTTTTGTTCAAAGATTGGTCTTGTTCTGAACTGTGTGTGAGTTGTACCATGTCTAGAATTGAGGTGATGGAACAGTATGGGTAAATTAAGTTTTGGATGCATACTGAATATCTGGTTTCTTGGAATGATAATCAGGTAATTGTATATAGTGTCAGGTCTTTAGGTGTATGGTTATAGATGAGGTTTGGATTGGTGAATTGGATTTATTGACCACTTGCGTACACCACTCGGAACTACGCTTTACAGATTGTTGATACACAAAGACAGGTGTCCTTAGTCTGTTACAGTCTCCAATAACTGTTTGTTGGTGACAGATTTAAATGCATCAGAGATTCTTCAGCTTCCCGCACTCTTGTCACAGCCGCCCATGCAACTAACTGGGTCCCAGGCTAGCAACCTCACAGCAACATCCAAGTGTTATCTTAATTCATTGTCCATTTTGAGGTCTCTACTCAGCAACAAGTCTATATGCCACAGTATTTTTATACCAAAGGCATATATATTTACTCTGAACTTTTATGACTTTTACTTCTATAAGCAGATTGGGATCACTGAGTAAAGCGGCTGGCTACAGGCTGGATGACCAGGTTGGATTCCCATTTGGAGGAAGATGTTGCTTCATCATCTTGCCCTGGACTGCCTTTCACCTTCCTTCCTCTCCAGTGAGCACTGGGGTCTGTCACCCCAAGGGCAAAGGAATGAGCTGGAGTGTGATTACTGATCACCTGCTTCTAGTGACTGTTGTCTAGCTTAAGACTGTATGGACCTTGCGTCCAATCCTGTATGCCTTCATGGCATGGTGTGTGTGTGTGTGAAGGGACAACTTTACATACATTCTTGTGTTAATAGGATATGACTGATTACAGAATTATAAAAAATTCTTGATGTCTTAGAAAATGTTCGATTATGCAAGCCTCTGTGTTCAGGGGCATTGACTTATAATATGCAGTGGAGTCTAAAATGTACCAGAAGTGTTGGTAATTTATGATGGTATTTCATGTTTGTATACCAGGGTTTGTAGTTACTGGTTTTATTGATAACTATAACAACTGTGGAATGCCCCCACAGTATAGAAAGGATGTGATTTAGAAACTGTGTCTTTACCATGGAATTCTGTAACATCTTTTCATTGACTCCTGTGTTGTAATTTGAGATGCTTTCACACAGAATTATATTCATTTTGCAGTTACAGATCATTGCACTGTCTAAAAATAAGCTGGAAATAGGAGCCATGCTACCAGGCTTGCCATCTTAACACATAAAGGACCAGTTGCATGATATCATGCTTTTTGCTTTTAAACGTGGCAGACAGGTTGCATGATATCATGATTTTAGGACACATTAGGTAGTAACACCCTATACCTTGCTCTGATGCCACGCAGCTGGATGACTACTGGGTAATAAAACTCTGGAATGTTTGCTTAGTAGTCAGTAACTTGACCTCACTGTTTTGGTTCCCCACTCCAAAGGCAATGATCTTTGTCCCTTCAGTCTGTATGTACCAGGCAGGAAGTTAGTAGTGCAATATGGATCAAGGACAAAAGTGGTTGAAGACCAAGCGATCTCTCGGAGAACAAGAAATTTCTGACTTGTTCTCCAATGAGCTATCTGGCGTGCCTTGTGAGAGAAGCAGTGATAGTAACTCAGATAGTGGCAATGACAGGGGACAACAAAGAATTGTGGCCGCAGACAATAAAAGTGAAAGTAGCTCCGATGAAAATGCGGGTAGTAGCATTGCGGGGACAGCCACATGGGGAAATGTAGGCAAAATGCCTGCTTTGGAACAGTTTACTGGAAATCCCGGGGTGAAACAAATTCCATCAGACCCAACGCAAGTGTCTGAAGTAGCAGAACTGTTTTTTGGAGATAGTTTCTTTGACATGTTATGTCAGGAAACTAACAGATACCATCTCCAACACTGTGAAGAGTATGACAGAAGTTATATAAGGTGTTGAAGTGGGTGGATGTCACTTAAGCAGAAATGAATTTTTTTTTTGCAATAATCATTCTAATGGGGCATACAAAGAGGGATAATCTGAAAGAGTATTGGTCAACAGATTCGTTTTTAGAAATTCCCATTTTTGGCAAACTAATGAGCCATAAGAGATTTGAACAAATTTGGTTGTGTTTGCATTTCAGTAATAATGAACTGCAACCACAATCAACAAGCAGGCTTTCAAAAATTCAGCCCTTATTAAACTTTTTTTTCCCCCCAGAAATTTCAGACAGTTTATAAGCCACGCCAACAACTGTCCGTGGANAATTACCATGTCTATCAAGACAATTATTATAACAGTGTGGTAACTGCAGAATACCTTCTTTCGAGAAAAGTACGTGTTTGTGGAACAATTAGGGTGAATAGAGGCCTTCCTCCAGATCTGAAAGAGGAATGTAAATCCCTGAAACATGATGAAACCACATTCAGGAGGAAAGGGGATACTCTTTTTCAGTCCTGAAGGGATACACTACTCATTCTCCCATGTGGCCTCTACCCACTCAGTGATACTTCAAGGCCCACACGTTGGTTGTCATATTATAACGGCTTGCTTGTTGTGTCCACTTACTTTACTGTCGTCTTCAGCTGCTGGCTGCTGGACTGCTACGGGCGGCGGCGGCTACAGCTGGCTTTACCCTGCTTCACTTATCATACTTACACACCTCTGATCTTTAGGGCAATGGGTTTAGTTTGGGTGCCAGTAGACTGCTACTATCAGTTTACAGATTTATGAAAGGTGTGAAGGATTGATAGGGGGGGTAGCGGTCATGGGTAGCTAGTCCTCTGGTAGAGCCAAGATTCAGATCTCAGGCCGTTTGGCAGGGTCTCGCTCAGGAAGGGAAGTGGGAACTACTGTTATAACACACACACACTTTGTTCCACAAGACACTTTTTAAACCTTTAAGAGCCTAATGTTACCATACGGCATCATTTAAAGTACAGCCAAGTGGCCGTGCATCACCGTATGGGTACCCGCAATCCACGCGTGCGCATAGTGTTTTAAAATCTTATTTTAAGATAGAAATTCTTGTTCTACTTACACTATTTTTGGACACCAGCTTTATAAGTAGACTGTCTTCCCTCCTGCGTCGTCTAACTGAATGTTGCCTTCGTGTGGAACTGTTCTAAACATCTGGAAATGCAGAGTCCAACGTCGTACTTCACGCACTTTGTCCGGGTGTTACTTCATTTCCCACGCAAAGAGCACACACAACATCTCAATCTCGTATTAGAGGAAGTCGGCCAGTGATGTCGACTTGCCTCCTCTAATCGAGATATCGCTGATGACACAGCAGGAGGTCGACCCCTGGACCGTTGAGGGTGAGATGGACCCCTTGCAGCATGTTCCACCATGTTCTGCACAAGGGCGAGACGAAATTCTCTGTGTGACACTTTCGCGCCACAGGATGACAACAGGATGAAACTATTCAGAATCGTCAGTTCCAGGAAATGGAAAAATAGTTTATTGGTCAATTTCCAGGTTCAACGACTGATGCTGTAACTGTTTGCCATTCTGTCCGCTTTGTCAACATAACCCATGTGCTTGTTGTAGTCAGCAACAATTGCTGGCTTGGTGGAATTTCTGTGCTCATCACAGAAACTGCCTTCTGCTGGAGGACAGTGCATGTTTGTCAACATATGAACGTCACGTTTGTCCTTCCAAACTAGTGCCGTCAAGTTCCGTCTCACCCTAACACGAATGTCACCTTTCTTCAGTCGAAATTGTCTTCGTCGAAAATCGTCAGGCAGGCCCTTCTGATTAGGTCTGACTGTCCCACAGCACGTTATGTCCTTTGTCATCAGTTCGTCAAAACAAGTCTGGTGACGAAAAGAAATTGTCCATGTACTGTTTGTGACCTACGCCCTCAATACGTCTGCATAGGTCCCTAACTGTAGCATGTGTCACTGTCACGTCTTGGCTGGCATATGTCCTGTCTTTTCCTAGGTAAACTTTCATGTCATAAGTATACCCTGTGGCGTCACAAATTTTGAAGATTTTGATTCCAAAACATTTGTGTTTCTTAGGAATGTACTGCCTAAAAACCACCCTCCCTTTGAATTTAACAGTTATCTCGTCTATGGCCAAATGTTCGGAAGGTTTATAATATTTTTCACGTGCGTCATTGAGAGTGTCGAAGATGGTCCGAATTTTCCATAGTTGGTCATAACTGTCGGCATTGCTGTCAGTTTCTGTATTGTTGTCTGCAAAATGAAGAAAACGAAGAATGTGTAGAAAACGGTCGTGTTTCATTGTGTTAGAGTAGAAAGGCGTGGCAAATTGTTCTACAGTCGACCAGTAGTCCTTCCGTCTGCCTCTAATGTCATGTCCCATTTGAATGATTATTCCTAGACACAGAAACATCTCGGAACCGGTCACGTCAGGCCACGGAGGTCTGCCTTGAAGTCTGTCTACATGCTGGTGGTAGTACCTGTTCGTTTCTTCCACCAGCAGACGAATAATCCCTGCGAAGTACAAGTAGAGCATGAAAACGCAGAAAGGGGTGGAATCCTTATTTACGTGTGGAGCTTCATTGGTATTTAACCCCACAGCTCCACCGGAATAATTATTCACATGCCTCCTGCCATGCTGGTGTGGTGGTCCCCAGGTTGCTGACGAAGATGATGCATCTTCATCGGCTTCAATTTCTGATTCACTTTCTTCCTTGCTACTCTCAGAGTCATTGGTACAACAGTCTGAATCGGTGTCATTTATAAGCTGATTCTCAATTTCAGCGTCTTCCTAATAGGAGGCCATGGTGGACAAGTGAACACAACGCTAGCCTTGAACGTTCTGACACTGCTGGGCTATATTTCAGAACAGAGTACTCTTGTGTGGCTATACGAGATAATACACAGTCAGTGTTTCTGTGAATGATTAGACATCGCCCACACTCGTGCATACCAAATGATTAGACATCGCTCACACTCGTGCATACCGAAAGGACCCTACGCGCTGGAGAAGGAGGAACGCAAGCGTAAGCATCCGCCCCTGTTGCCACATAAGCCGTAGTTAGAAAATGATGTCAGTAGTAGGAATTTAGACTGCAGAAAGGTTTTGTGCAGGAACTGTATGCATTTTTGTGCACAGACGTTCGAAATTGAGGGAAACAAAGTTTTTGGCATCAGTGTAAAATTTTTTAGAGATTTTAAAATCGGTAAATTACAATAATTGATTCTATATTCTTTCTAGATAAAAGCAGCGTTTATTTCGTTCGTTTATCACAAAAATTGTAGAAATCACAGCATTTTGAGTAACATGATTACAATTTTTATTACTCTACAATGGTGGGCATTTAAATTAACTCCATCCTGCTGCCACTACCGGAATTTAAATGGCCATCTCTTAAAGGTTAAACTGTTCTCAATAAGGGACGCCACTAATGCACTAGATTGAATTTGCGTCCGAATAGTTTGCGATCTGGAATACAACTTGTTGCAGAATGCCTTCTCCTCGATACTCAAATGGGAGTACACTAATTAAGTATTCCCCCAATCCGTTTAGGTATTACAGGGAATTTAGGCGCTAAAACTTAACATAAATCCTGTCAATAGGTTGACAAATGTTATGCTTGGCTTGGGCTGAGAGACCACCCATCTTTTAAGTTATGGTGTTCAAAACTGTCACATATTGTATTCTCAAAGGACTCAGACAAGTAAAATTTTGTGTGACTTTCTAAAGAGCCAAGCTGCGGGGGGTCTTCCTCTTTCACTTCGCATCTGCGTTGACCAGTCGTTTTTCTTTCGTCTTTTTCTTTTGAGAGTTTGAGCTAAAACTCCTCCTTGAGGGGAAGAAATAGCCTATGTACCTCTCGTCCATTTGCTGTATGTTACAAGTAAACCTAACCGAACATGTTAATTTACATGGATCAAAACATGCTACTAAATTAAATTGAGCTGGTGTTGGCAGATCGGTTACAATACCCATGTTAATATGATTTCCACAATTCATAATTTGAGCATGGTTGATGTTCAAAGGAGACACGGACAAGTAAAGAAGCCTATTTGTCAATTGTCAATAGATTTTCCGTCAAGTGCAACAATATATATTTTGGTCACTTATTTATCTCATCTGCCTTACATGTTTCGGTTCCAAGGAACCATCTTCAGAGGCACTTACAACAAATCATGAAAACACTGGCACAGCTCAACATCCACAGTATGTAGTTATTTGTGGAAACTATTACATATNGTGGACAAAGAAAGTTGCCTTGTGGCTTATAAATTTTACCATTTTCAGTTCATTTTTGGTTTAAGAAAATCTAAACCCTGATACGAAATTGAAATACGAAGCATTTCTGATGACTGTGGCAAAGGCCTGGGCT